AGCTGGCACACTCTGCTGAGAACCTAGGTGTTTGCATTGCCACTATGCAACCCCTGCTGTGATGTGGGCAGCTGCGATGGTCCTGCACCCCGTCTTCTGGCTCTGTGGAGTGCAGGCGTCTGTTCTCCCGCTTTCCCTCCATGCCCAGCAGCTGTGGAGGGCACTGTTGGTCCTTCTACAAAGGAGCCCAGAGTGTGAGGGTGCAGCTTGCTTGTGACGTGTATGGTGGCAGGTATGGGGGCCCCGGTGGAGCTCTTGGGCCTTGGGGAGACTGGATTCCCAAGTCACAGGTATGCTCCAGGCTCCCCTCTCCTGCCTCATTGCTCTACCTGAGACTCCGGGTCCCCAGGCCCAGGTGCTGTCCCCCGGAAGTTGTGGCCCTGCCTCACTTCTCTGCTTTTACCAGAAGAGCCAGGCCTTGTGGTGGGCAACATCCTGCCTCTGCTCAGCCTGGAGAAGCGAAACCGGCCTGTAAAAGCCAATGGGGCTCCCTGGGAATACCCAAAGGAGGTAGCCTGTAGGGCCTGCTCAGGGAGAACTATAGCTACAGGGGCTGTGGGGGCCCCTACTCTCTTCCTGTCTCTCACTACCCCAAGCCCTGTCCTCTCTGAGAGAGGCTCTGGGGAACACCAGAAGCAGCCCTGTTTGATGGGGGCAGACCAGAGAGCCTGAAGGCCTTCTTCAGAGCACGGTGGGTGGCTACTCACAGGCACAGGGCTGGGAAGTCACTTCCTGTTGTCTTTGGTCACTTCCTCCCAGGGCATTCTACACAGTCCTCCTTACTGCCCCTGCCTGTGGTATGAGGCACCACATGGCCCTTGCAAAACCCTTGCCCATATCAGGGCCAGAGTCGGGGGCACCAAGGCCGTGGCCCATGAAAGCCTCACTGGCATCCTTCTCTCGGGAGGCCAGTCTGCTGTTCTACATATGGGGTGTGCATACCCCATGTGGGGTGACCAGGCAATTGCTGCCCTGCTTGTCCCAGAAGTTGGGTATGATGAGTGAGGATGGCTGTGGTGGATAGGCTGGGGGAGGGGAGCATGAGGTCTCGTGCCCCAGAGGGGCGATAGACACTGTTCCACATTCAGATAACATAGGCACTTGGGGTTCTTTGCCATATACCTGGGTCTCCAGCACCCTACCCCAGGCTCTCAAGTTCTGGTTTCCTTGAGGGGCCATCCTTATTGTGGGTATCAATGTTACAGTGGCAAGCACCAAGGATTCAGGAACACAGGAGTCTCCTGAAGCCTGCAGTACCCATATACGTAGGACACGGTACAAGCTCACATGGGGCCTGCTTTGCCTCTCCCAAAGTGACCGGGTCAACCCAATAACTGTGAAAAGTGAACAATCCTCACAAGGTGCTAGGTTGAATCACAGCACACCCCAGCACTGGCTCGGCACCCAGACTCCCCGTCAGCCTGTCTGTCCCAGAGGCTGCATCCTTGGCAGGCACAGCTGGTCCCCTCCTGTGCCCTCACATGCCTCCTTCCTTCTACCCAACAGCTGGTCAGCGAGAAGGTTGGCGGGGCTGAGGGCACCAAGCTGGACGATGACTTCAAAGAGATGGAAAAGGTAGGGGTCCCAGGCACAGTACACACTTCTGGAGGACAAAGGGGCCTGCACCATTCTGCCTCGGTGTCCGATGTTCCAACACTGGCTCTCTTCGCAGAAGGTGGATGTTACCAGCAAGGCCGTGGCAGAGGTGCTGGTCAGAACCATCGAGTACCTGCAGCCCAACCCAGGTAGGTCACCCGGAAGTGGTGACCATGGCCCTCCTGACCTCTTCTCCTTACCACCACATACAAGGATCCCTTCTGCTGACTTGCTGGGCTGGTGTGCAGTGGGGCCAGATCTTCCCAGGGGCACAGGTTGGAGATGGGAGGAGGTGGAGTCTAGGGCCGTGGAGCAGACCGCAGTACCACAACACTTCTTGAGGAGGCCTTAGGGAAGGGACATGTGGGATTGGTCCCTTCTTTGTTGAGTTGCCAAACCCCTGGGAGGGCATGAGAAGATACTCCTGTCACTTGGCCCACTGGCCAGCGCAGGATATGTGGTCCTGGTCCAGGGGAGAGGAGCCTGTGGGTGTCCCACCTGGGCCGTCTTCCCTTGCAGCCTCACGGGCTAAGCTGACGATGCTGAACACTGTATCAAAGATCCGGGGCCAAGTGAAGAACCCTGGCTACCCACAGTCAGAGGGGCTGCTGGGCGAATGCATGGTCCGCCACGGCAAGGAACTGGGCGGAGAGTCCAATTTTGGTGAGGGGCAGCTGAGGGGTCGGGTGGGGAGGGAGGGCAGCCATGTCCAATATTCTGCCCTGCCTTGGCATGTGGGGAACTCCTTCCATGACCTCCTCTCCTCCCTGCAGGTGATGCCCTGCTGGATGCAGGCGAGTCCATGAAGCGCCTGGCTGAGGTGAAGGACTCACTGGACATCGAAGTCAAACAGAATTTCATCGACCCGCTGCAGAATCTGTGTGACAAGGACCTGAAGGAGATCCAGGTGCCGCCCCATGCCTGGTTCCATGGGTAGGCGGGGAGGGTGCCCCTTGCAGCTGTGCTGCTCCATAACGTGTCTGCACCCACAGCACCACCTGAAGAAACTGGAGGGCCGCCGCCTGGACTTTGACTACAAGAAGAAACGACAGGGCAAGATCCCTGATGAGGAGCTGCGGCAGGCCCTGGAGAAGTTTGAGGAGTCCAAGGAGGTGGCAGAGACCAGCATGCACAACCTCCTGGAGACTGATGTGCGTGTTGGGCGGGACAAGGACCCAGGACACCATTCCACAAGGATGAGGGGGCTGCCCTCCCTGGCTAGGGTGCTGGTCCTCCAGGGCGGGTGCATGGCCATGTCATCTGGCCCCTTCCTGTCCACAGATTGAGCAGGTGAGTCAGCTCTCAGCCCTGGTGGATGCCCAGCTGGACTACCATCGGCAGGCAGTGCAGATCCTGGAGGAGCTGGCAGACAAGCTGAAGCGTCGGTGAGTGGTGGCTTCCCTCCCGCCCCCAGCAGTTCTTGTGACTACTGTGCGCCCTCTGCTGGCGAGCATGGGCTGTGCACCCAACCTGCTAGGCCAGGCACAGGCTTCAGGTTGTATCAGTGAAGGGTCCTTAGAGCTGTGTGTGTTAATAGCAGTAGGTCCCAGAAGGGAGATGGCAGTGGTAGCGGGAGCCAGAGAATGAGAGGACGAGGGAGTTAGCTGGGTCAGCTGCCCAAGTTCACATTCTTGACCTGCTTTTGTCAGGTGGCAGCTCCCTGGGTGGCCAGGGATGTCCCTGTGCATCCTCACTAAACAGGGTGGCTTTGAGGGCAGAGGCGGTTGAGTCTCCGTGGATACTCATGCTTGGGACGGGCTTAGGTTAGAGCCAGCCCTCGCCCTGAGGCGGCAGCAGAAACAACAGGGTGGAAGAAGAGGGGGTGTGGGAACTCTGGGCTTTCCATTCCTACAGGGTACAGGAAGCCTCCTCACGCCCCAGGCGGGAGTTCAAGCCCCGGCCGCGGGAGCCCTTTGACCTTGGAGAGCCAGAGCAGCCCAATGGGGGATTCCCCTCCGCCCCAGCACCCAAGATCACAGGTAACAAAGCCCCATGGCAGGTTCCCCGGGCTGGAGATGGCTGTCCAGCCACTCACACATACCCTCCTCCACAAACAGCTTCCTCGTCATTCAGATCAGCAGACAAGCCCGCCAGGACCCCCAGCAGGAGTATGCGTGAGTGTCCTGGGGTAGAAGTGGCTGCTGTCTTTGGGGGTGAGAGAGGGAGAGAGGGGACTGCATTCCCCCCACCACTACCACAGCTGCTGCAGGTTGCTTATTTGGGGTCACCAAAGTATCAAAGCAGGGCCAACCTCCACCTGCCTTGGCCTATCTGCTGTCCTATCCTGACACCCCTACCCTGATCCCAGCACCCCTGGACCAGCCAAGCTGCAAGGCACTATATGACTTTGAGCCTGAGAATGACGGTGAGCTGGGCTTCCGCGAGGGCGACCTCATCACACTCACCAACCAGATCGATGAGAACTGGTACGAGGGGATGCTGCACGGCCAGTCAGGCTTCTTCCCACTCAGCTATGTGCAGGTGCTGGTGCCACTGCCTCAGTGACCACGCCTGCACCGACTCCTTGCACATTGTGGCAGCAGCCTAAGGCCAAGGTGCTCTAGAAACACTAACGTCCTCCAGGGGACCCTCCTCACTCTCCCAGCCCTGGGCCCCCATCCTAAGACTTGGGAAGGCCCACCCTGAGGTCCTATTGCCTTCCTGATGGTGGCAGCTCCCACCTGTTTCAAACCCTCCCAGCCCGTTGCTGGCGATGGGCCCTGGCCCCTTCTCCAGGCTCCCCAGAAGCAGGCGGGCCCTTGGAGTCCCCATCCTGTAAGCTGAGGCTGGCCAGTACCCCAACTTGACACACAGAAATGCTTAGCACCAGCTATACATGCAGAAGTGCACACCTCCCACGGGACCACAGAACCAGCCTCAGCCCTGCCGAAGGCCAAGCACAAAGGCCCTGAAGAGAGGACATTCCCAGGTCCCTGGCACTTTCCTTTGAGACAGCTCTATTGGTACCTGTCCATGTGACCCTGTACCTGTAGGCTACCACAGGCAGCTGGCAGGTCCCTTCTCCGACCAGCAGACCTGCCGCAGCCCCAGCTCTGCATCATATCCTGCCAGGTGCCAGCAAGTGAGGCCTCCAGCCTGGGCTCAGTCACATTCCTCTCTACAGTGTTCCCACAACCTATGGCTCAATCCTGGCATGTGGGGCCACACTCCACATCTCCAGTGGGCAACAATGTCCCGCTCTAGCCTGGGCTGAAGTGAACTCTACTCCTGATTTTTTAAAAAGTATTAAATGTCTCTTTCTACAGCCATTGCCCCATCTTAATTCAGCATGACCCTGTTCCCTTGCAAGGGCCCACACAGCCCTACCACCCCACCCCAGCCCAAGGACCCCAGAGAGCCTAACTCCCCCCCCCCCCCCCCAGCCACAGGCTCATGCTGTGGGTACTTAGACTTTATTATCCAGCCCAAGGGTCCGCCTGCTGTCCTACCCCAGCCACAGGTCTGTGTGTGGGTACTTTATTGCCCAGTCTGGTCCAGAACAGCAGGGCCTGCATGGCCTCAGCTCCCCTGCTTGAGCATGCTGCAGACCTGCTCCAGCACATGGCACATGCCCTGATCCTTTGGGGTCCTGCTGGCCAAGGACATCTGCAACAGCAGGACTGGGGTCAGACTCTGCCCTGGACAGGTATCCCCTACCCCCTACGGCTACAAGCCAAGTAAGGCCCTGCCAGGGTGAATGGGTACAGCACCCGGTAGGCCTGGGCTACCAAGACTTTGGTTCTGTAAGAAATTTCTTTGGTTAGGATTTGGAAGCAGGGTCTTGACTCTGTAGCCCAGGCCAACCTAGAAGACACCCCCCTCCCCTACACACACACACATGTACATGCCTTTGGGTGCTGGTTGACAGTGTGTGCCCCACTGAGCCTCACAATCTGAGTGACGTACAGTGCAGAGCACCCTCCTGGGTGAACTCCACACAAAAGGGGGGGACCTCAGGCCACATGCAGGAGTCAGTAGTTGGCAAGAGGGTTCACCTGGCCACCCAGGTCCTGTGACCTCCCTTCCCCTAGACTATGGGGAAGTCTTGTTGAGACTCTGGGAAGTGGTTTGTGCTCCCCACAGGACCCAGGCTGCAGGGTTGCACAGTCTCACCTTGAGCTTGTCCAGGTAGGTATGCTCTGGGCTCCAGGCCTCCTGGAACCTCACGAGGTCAGGGGCGCCCTTGTAGAACTCCGCCAGCAGCACCTACAGGGCAAGGGCAGCACATCTGGCCTGTCTGTGCTTGGCTCTGCAGCTCCCTCAGTTGCCAGGAGGGGCTAGGTTCCATGTCACCACAGTGCAGGCTCCTCCCAAGAAGTCACACCCATGATCCCTCAGGGATGACAAAGTCGTTAAAAAATAGATATACGCAGGTGTGCTGCAGGCACACCTGTCATCTCAGCACTGAGAAAGCTGAAAGAATAATCGTAAGCTTGGGCTACATAGGAAGGCCATATCTCAAGTAAAACAAGTGGACCACAGCCACAGAAAGATGGCTCACCATCTCTTGAAGGACATCACTGGTCAGGAAGCTGTCCTGGATATACGCCATCTCTACGTCCATAGGGATGCCATAATCACTGGGCCTTTGCTGCTAGGAGGAGTGGGACCAGTCAGAGAGGCCTTGCCTGTGCCAGGGGCGACTAGGGTCTGAAGTTAAGGGATGTAGGAAGCCAGGGCATTACCCAGAAGGGCTTAAGAGTAGCCACTGAAATACTACTGAAGCACAGCTGCTCAATACAGCCCCGAACTGGATTCCCGGCCTAAGACACAGCACATTCTCCAGCCCCCAAACATCTGCCCAGATTTGACCCTGCTGTACCCACTCACATCCACACCCCTCAATTTGTTGTCTTCCAGCTTACCCACCTCGGGGGGAGGCATGACCCAGAAAGGGCAGATCTTGGACTCAGGGCCTGGGTTGCCAGAATAGTAGGGGGCTGTGGGGACAAAGACAGGTTGAGGCTGGGGACCCAGTGGTCCTGGCAGGGTGAATCCCCCAACCTGGTGCCCAGCTGGGGCCTCACAGCACAGCAGGGCCAGGCAAGGCTGGAAGCCATTGCTGGAGCCTTGCAGTCTTAGCTGGTACTCCATCTGTGCGTCGATGTCCTGCAGGGAGGGCACTGCGGGGCTGTGTGGGTGACTGTGGTACCAACCCACCAGGGACAGGCCTCGAAGGAACAGCACCTGGTGGATCTGGAGGCAGAGAAGCTAGGGTTGGGGGTGGGGACCACCCCGAGTCTCACACAAAAGCACTTAAGTGGTTCCCCCGCCCAACTATGGCAGGAAGTATGATTAACAAATACATCTGGGGCAGGAGAGACAGCTCAGTGAGTCAGAGTGCTGGCTGCATTTGCAGGGGACCACAGTTCAATTCCCAGCACAGGCTGCTCACAACCCCTGTAACTCTGGTTCCAAGAATCAGATGCCCTCTTCTGGCCTCACTACATACACACACCTTTTTTACTTTTGGTTTTTCGAGATATGGTCTCTCTCTAGCTTTGGAGCCTGTCCTGAAACTAGCTCTTGTAGACCAGGTTGGCCTCGAACTCACAGAGATCCTCCTGCCTCTGCCTCCCGGGTGCTGGGATTAAAGGCGTGTGCCACCACCATCCGGCTTTTGTTTTTTTCTAATTTAAATAGTGCTTCTAGCTGGCTGGGTGGTGGTGGTTGCACACCTTTAATCCCAGCACTCGGGAGGCAGAAGCAAGCTAATCTCTGAGTTTGAGGCCAGCCTATTCTACAGAGCAAATTGCAGGACAGCCAGGGCTACATAGAGAAACCTTGTCTCAAAAACAAGAAAAAAAAATTCCATTTAAACATAGCAACAGACTTATCCTCCCAGTACTCAAAAGGTACAGCAGGAGGATGCTTCAGTCTAGACCAGCCTGGGCTACACAGCAAAAGCCCTTGTCATGTAAAGCACCAAGCCAGCATTTCCACCCCAGACGTGGGCACCCACACTCCCATATTTGCAGAGCATGGTCACTGTCCTTGGCCACCAGACAACTAGCCCCCTCCCAACAAGCCCTCACCTCCTCTTCAACAGTGGCTGCTGTATCAGTGTCCCCCAGCCGACTCCTGCAGGGGAAGGCTCTCAGCACGGTCAGCACTGTGGGGTACAGAACAAGAAGCTGTCAGTCCTGCCCCAGGGGTGCCCTCATCCGCCCCGTCTGAGTACGCACTCTGATTGTTGATGTCCCAGCGACCACCAAGGTAGCCCACGACCTCACTCCGAGTCAGGTGACAGTGGAAGTCCTGGGGACGAAGGGAGAGAACAGACTGCACTTCCTGTGTCAGTGTAAGAGCCAGCTCAGCTCTTTTGGAGCACCTACCACTATGCTAGGGACGTCACTCCCTGATGAGCGTGCAGTGCCTGCACCTAGCGTTTGAAAGGCACTGGTGTCTGTTCCCAGCACCAAAGGGAAAAGGAGCTCCGATCACTTTCTAATAGCAAGCACTGAAGGAGTACCTGTTGTATATCATATCCCCGACTCCTCCGTGCCCCCACCCAGGCTGGTGAGGTCCTTCTCCGCTGACATGGAGGATGACCAGGCAAAGTGACTTTGGTCACTTACCAAGAGGAACAGCACGTTACTGGAAACGGCCACGTTGAATGGCTGGAACTTGTTGATGGCAGCAAAGGATGTGACTTCTACCAGAGTGTGGGGGTTCCTGGAGTGGCAGGAAGGGTGCCAGGGCTTTAAGAACTCAGGCTCTTCCCAACCCTACCGCTTCCTGAGATCCTTGCCTCTGTGACCAAACCAACCAAAGGCACCAGGGAAGCCAGGACCAAGGCAGCGGGGGCAACTGACCTGGCAGAGTCACGACTGCCCAGCATGCAGTAACGCACTGGCACCTGGACCTTGTCCACACGCTTGCCCAGGGTTGTGGCCTCTGGGGAGAGGGATGAGAGAGAAGTCAGTGTGAACACCCCCCCCCCTTCTGTTCTCTTTGCAAAGAAGCAAGGATACCCAAGAAATAAGAGGAAGTGGGGCCAGCAAGATGGCTCAGTGGGTCTTACAACCAGGCCTGATGACCTAGGTTTGATCACCAGAACCCACATGGTAGAAGGGACCCAAGTCCTGAAAGGTGTCCTCTAACACATACCCTTGACCCCAGCTCTCAGGAAGCAGACATCTCTGTGAGTTCCAGGCCAGCCAAGCAGAGAGTGAAACCAGGCCTAAGAAACATCAAAGCCAGCTTCCAGCATCACAGTTCCCTCCTCTCTGGCCCCTCACCTGGCTCAGAGACCTTCCCAGGCAGTCTGCGGCCTTTGTCCTCTGCTGAGACCCCCGCCAGCACATCTTCTTCGTCCTCCTCCAGTAGCAGCTCCTCCTCCTCCCCTTCACTGGTGGGACTCTGGTGGAGTGGAGGTAGAGCGGCAGTAAGATATGGGAGCGCCTCATCATACCCCCAAGTACTCTCTGGAGCCCAGGCCTGAGCGCGAGATGTCATTGCCTTGAGTGACCACCAGAGGGTGATGGTGAGCAGATGTGCACAAGGCGCAGCTCCCTCTGCCCGTAGCACTTCATGGCTCCCACCCCCTTTAGGGTCAAAGTTGAAGTCCTTCCTCCAGCCGAGGAGGCCCTGCTGGCCCTGTCTGCCCTTCCCTGCCTCCCTCCTTCCTTGCGCTTTCTGCTTCAGCCTCTCAAGCCACCTTTCTGCAACACGCAAGGCCGTGTCCTACCCCAGGGCCTTTGCACACCTCCTCCCGCAGCGCACCACAGGTAAAGGCTTGTAGTCACCTCATCAGCAGCAGCTACTGGCATATGCAGCTGGTGTCGGCGGAGCCAGGCAGCCTTGTACTTGTCAAGTTTCTGGCCCTTGTACTTGACCGACGCCCAGCCACAGCCGGACTTCTTGGCCGGGTTGACGAGCTTCTTACAGTGTGTTGCCCAGGCGCTGGGTGAGTTGAAGACTTGTCCAGTTTCCTGCCACAGGATCCTGCCATCTGGCTGCAGGTCCCCAATGAACTTCCTGCCCTGCAGGGACAGAGAGGGCTGGGACACGTCCACTCCCAGAGATTCCTGACTCTATGCTCCCTGAGGCTTGGCATCCATGTTCTTCTAGGGCTGACAAGAGGCATTTTCCTAGAAACACCATCTGTCACACCAGTACCGCATCCCGGCACACAACACCCAGCTTTGAAGTTAAACAGCAGCCAGACCTGACATAGCAAGGCACGACTGTCAGCCCAGATACTGGGGAGGCTGAAAGACCACAAGTACAAAGCCTTCCAGGAACACTTTATAATACACTTCTACTCAGAAGTAGAACCCCTACCTAGAATCCCCTAATGATGGACTAGGGGCGTCGTCAAGGGTGGGGCTCCCACCTAGAATCCCTGAGTGAGGGGCGGGGGGCGTGGCTCAGGTTCCATTTTTGGCACCACAAAAAAAGTTTTTTTTTAGCGTGATCGTTTTAAACAGTACTCATTCATAGAGGACCTGGGAAGGAAGACCTCAATTTACTGATGGGGAATCTGCTATCACACAATTGGTTATTCATACACCCGGACAGCTGTGGTTACGGTTACGGCATTGTGAGAATCAGGCTCTGGGCTTCAGTTTCCCTTTACGCATGAGCAGTGGAGGACATGAATGGTCTTTGGGGGTCGCTCACCAGGTAGTAGATAGATAGCACCCCTTCGCCGGGCTCCAGCAGCTCGTCTTTGAGCAGCACCCGCAGCGTGACCGCGCGCCTCGTAAGCGCGCCCCCCAGGGTCAGCCCAGGCCCAACCGTGCTGCCTCCAATGCCACTGAGGCTGCCGCTGCGCGCTCCGCTGCCCGCCCCGCGCTCGGGGTCCTCGGCCTCCGCGTCGTCCTCATCCTCTTCCGGCGCTTCATCGGCCACGGCCGCAGGGGACAGAGGCTCGGGAGCTGCAACGAGACAGCGACGGGCTGCAGAGATCGCACCCCTCAGCCCTGTCCCCGCCCGCACAGAGCGTCCTACCTGCCATGGCTGCCCTGTCTCGCCACAACCTCCTCCGGGTAACCGGGCTCCGCCCAGCGCGGAGATGCCGCAGCCCATTGGTCACCGGGGGGGCGGGGGGGCGGGGGGGCGGAGAGGTTTGGCCCACTGAGGGGTGGAGGAGACACCAAGCCCTTGGTTTGTGCTCCGGTTGGAGCTGGAGGGCTCCGAGGCTGTTGGGGAAACTGAGTCGGGAGGTTGTGGGAGATCTGGATGAGGGACTCAGACCCAGGACACTACCTTCAGGGGCTACAGAGGCCACCAACTACCAGGTTGCAACCTTGAGCCGGGGGCGCAGTAGCGGTTCAGTCTACTAGAAAGAAATGGGAATCTGAGGTCTCCAGCCTGCCCTCGCGCGGGAGAGGAAATGCGGGGAAACTGAGACCCGATGGTGCTGGTGACCTGGAGGAAAAAACTGACACCCAGGACCCCCACATTTAGGGGATTACATGCCCCACCTGAGGCCGCCGCCTGCTGGGCTGCATCTCGGGGCTAGGGCGCACCCACCCCTACGCAGCGATGAGGGAAACTGAGTCTCGCGGCCAGCGCGCTAGATAGGCTCGGCTCCCTTGGTGATTGGGAGCTGGGGAGAACCGGCTTTGTAAGAAATGTAGGGCCGCAATGGGAAGGCTCGCTGCAGGTGGATCGAAAGTTCTGGGTCAGGCTCTGCTTCAGCATCTATAGTGTTAACTCAGCAATTTACAGCCGTCACGTCATCCAATCACCAGGTGGCCCCAGCATCCAATTAACTACAAGGGATGGTTTCCATCCAGCCAATCGGCGCCTAGGTGGAGTCAGGGGCGGGTTTTGCTGACCGCGCGCGCGAGGCCCAAAGCCTTTGTTCCCCTCCGGTCCGGTCAAAAACCTTTGCCCCCAACTCCCGGAGGTCTGAAAATCTGGGAAGGGGACCAAGCAGAGTGGCAGGTGGGATTGTCGTCCCACTGGGGAAAGAGAGCACAGGACGCTCTGGAAGGGTCTAAGGAAAGAGAATCATTCTTTCCCCTAGCTGGATCACCAGACTCCAGTTCCGCAGAGACCAGGCTAGCCTCCCCTCACTGTGCTCAATAAGCAGGTCTAACCACCTCCTGGCAGGCAAAGCCTTGAGTGAGTGAGAGTTCATGTTCTGGACACTGGCCATCTTCATGGGACACCATGCACTTCATCCTCATCCCGTTTATCGTCTGCCCAGCCTGGTCCTAGAGGGATCTTTCTATACCGTAACTACATCTCACCCCCCACCACAACAGTCCATGGCTCCCTAGTCATTTTTCTTTTCCTTCCTCTATTCTTTCAAGTTCTGAGATAGGATCTCATAACTGGCCTCGAACTGAGCCCAGGTTAGCCTCACACTTGCAGTAATCCTCCTGCCTCAGCCTCCCTTGTGCTGAAATCACAGGTTTGCATTGCCACACCCAGCTACCCTGTGGCCTTAGACAATTTGAAGCAACCACTGTGTCTTTACAATGTACGAAAAAGTCCTCTAAAGATAACAGTGGACAGTTGGACAGATAAAGGAACGCCACGCTGCCCATAGCAACTATCTATGGTCCCCATCGCCTCCCTTTATTACCCGTGTAAAGTCCAGGCGCTAGGGCTAAGGACTGCGGGAAATGAATGCATAAACTGTTCTGGTTTTCTTTTTTGAAAACATCATAAGCTACTTACAGAACTGGACTCAAGTTACTTTGTAACTAAGACTGCCCTTAAACTGGTGATGCTTTATCTCCCAACTTTCGGGAAGACGGCACTGTGCCACTATGCCTGGCTGAATTTATAATTATATACTGATTGCGTGCACAGGAATTGATCTTAGAGCCTTGTATTTGAAGGAGTCAGGTAGTAGAGCACCTGCCTGGAATTCCCCAGTGAGGGATTGGGGGCGAGGCCAGTGTGGAGCCCAACTCAGAATCCCCAGTGAGGGACTGGGGCGTGGTCCTGGTGGATCCCCGCCTAGAATCCCTCAGTGAGGGACTGGGGGCGTGGTCAGAGTGGAGCATTGGCCTAGAATCGCACAGGGAAGGCCTGGGTGCGACTCCGTGGTACAGTGTTCACCTAGCAGGCCCAAAGGTCCTGGTTTGCATCTGCAGCAAAAGGAAGAAAACAGTGAGAGAACAGCAGGAGAGAAATGATTGTCTTGTTATAATCCTTCAGACCAGCAGTGAGAGTCAGGCCTGGTGGTCCACATCCGTCATTATAGCACTTGAGAGGCTGAGACAGAAAGAGCTGGAGCTAAAAGTCAGCTAAGGGGGCTGGAGAGATGGCTCAGCAGTTAGCAGCCCTTCCAAAGGTCCTGAGTTCAATTCCTAGCAACCACATGGTAGCTCACAACTGTATGGAATGGGATCAGATTCCATCTTCTGTTGTACATGAAGGAAGACAGAGATCTCAAACATAAAACAAGCCAGGCGGTGGTGGCGCACGCCTTTAATCCCAGCACTCGGGAGGCAGAGGCAGGCGGATCTCTGTGAGTTCGAGACCAGCCTGGTCTACAAGAGCTAGTGCCAGGACAGGCTCCAAAGCCACAGAGAAACCCTGTCTCAAAAAACCAAAAAAAAAAAAAAACCAAAAAAAAAAACAAACATAAAACAAATAAGTAAATAATTTTTTTTTAAAGTCATCTTGAGGCCGGGCAGTGGTGGTGCATGCTTTTATATATATATTTTTTAATTTATTTATTTATTATGTATACAATATTCTGTGTGTATGCCTGCAGGCCAGAAGAGGGCACCAGACCTCATCACAGATGGTTGTGAGCCACCATGTGGTTTCTGGGAATTGAACTCAGGACCTTTGGAAGAGCAGGCAATGCTCTTAACCTCTCTTAACCTCTGAGCCATCTCTCCAGCCCCTGGCACAAGCTTTTAATACCAGCCCTAGGGAGGCAGAGGCACGCAGATCTCTGTGAGTTGGAGGCCAGCTTGGTCTACAGAGTGAGTTCCAGGACAGGCTCCAAAGCTACAGAGAAACCCTGTCTTGAAAAACCAAAAAAAAAAAAAAAGAAAAAAAATAATAATAATAATAAAAAGTCAGCTTGGGCTGTGTATCTAGACAACAAACAACCAAACCAGAAAAACTCAGAATGTGGATACTAGTCGTGCATCTAGGAAGTGGAGTTAGGAGGCTCAGGAGTTCAAGGTCATCCTCAGTTCCATAGTTGGGGCCAGTCTGGGCTGTGTGACTTCGGCTCAAACAAAGCAAACGAGAGAAAACTAAAACCAATAACTAACGTGCTTAGCTGTAAGTCTGATGAAGGGTAATCAGAACACACGGGCTGGGAATGATTGCAGTTGGCGACCTGTCTCAGTGGGGAAGGGAGCGTGCCACCAAGCCTGATGACCCGCATTTAGTCTGCAGGACCCAAGTGATGGAAGGAGAAAATCCACTCCTTCGAGCTCTGACCTCCACACACATACAGTGAATGTAATAAAAAGTTAAACTGATCTAAGCTGAGAAAGTCCCCTCCCCGCCTGACCCCTGGCTAAGGACTTGTCTTGCAGATTCATGTCTAGTGATCCAGGCACTATACTCAGCGACTTCCCGAGCATTCCAGATCTTGCTGTGATGTGCCTGCCGTACGCTTCTGTTTTCCCTGTGATCACGTCCCAGCCACCTTCCTCAACACAGTCCCTTTGCTTGGGACAGGAGCCCAGAGCTGCCGGGATTTCCCCAGGATCCAGCCCCCGCCCAGCCCTGCCAGGGAGGGAGGTGACCGGCTGACTGAGTTGAGGAAACTCCCCAGGAACCTGTTTATTCGCTTCCTGGCCGGGCTGGGGTTCCTACTGGAAGGACGGGGACCTGGGCTGGACATGGCCTCGGCCCTGAGCCCACCCAAGGGCCCCAAGCCCAAAGGCGTGCCACCTTCACACTACTATGAGAGCTTCCTAGAGAAAAAGGGACCCTGTGACCAGGTATGGAGGGTGGGAAGCCTGCCCGGCAGTGCTGAGCTGCTCCGGGAATCCACACAGCCTGACTGAGGGCCTGGCAGGGGGTGGTTGATGGTGAGAGGAACCTGGTAGAGCAAGGCACAAGCTACTGGCTGTGGAAAGCTCTGGCTATCTGTCTGTCTCTGTGTCTCTTTCCATATTCTGTCCTTTGATTACATATCTCTCTGCCTGCCTGCCTGTCCTTCTGTCTGTCTACCTTCCTGCCTGGTTGCCCTGCCTAGCTGTTGGTCTCTTGATCTGTCCAGCTTCTGTTTCAATCTTTCTGCCTGTCTCTCTTTCCATTCTCTGCATAGGAACAAGACTAGAGACTTCCTCCAGGAAATAAGGTCTCCTTTGATTCCTGGGCCTCCTCCCCCTCCCAGCTCAGAAGTAACCCCGTGAACTTGAGGTTCTGGGCTAAGGTCACGGCAAGTGGCACGTGAACTGTGGCTGGTCAACTGTCAAATCAAAGCCACCGAGAGGGTTGTTCTGAGGCAGGTTTTCAGGATTATGACCCCAAAAGGCTTGAAACCTGAAGAAATCCTCCTGCCTCAGCTTTTCAAGTGTTGGGATGATGGTGTGCTCTGCCACCATGCCCAGCCCATATGTATTTCTGCTGGATGCACCCCTCTGTTTTCCCTGAATACTGCTCAGACTAGTCTCTTGGCTCCTCTTGTCCACATCCCATATGTATCCAGATAAACCACAACCAGCAAGTTCTTTACATCATGCCCTCAAATGATGGACAGATGGGTGGGTGGATGGATGGGTGGGTGGGTAGGTGGGTGGGTGGATGGGTGGATGGATGGGTGGGTGGATGGATGGGTGAGTGGGTAGGTGGGTGGGTGGGTGGGTGGGTGGATGCATGGGTTAGTGGGTGGGTAGATGGATGGGTGCCTGGATAGGTGAGTTGGTAGGTGGATATGTGAGTAGATAGAGGTGTGTATACATAGAAAACCATTAATCCAGTTAAGTCAGCTTACTCCACAGCACACATCTCTTCACATTGTGGGGTGCCTTGTCTCTCTATCCCATAGGAATCCCCTTGTTTTCGTCTTTATTAAATGCTGTTGATGGAGCCCAGACTCACTCCCATGC